TGTGATGCCCATACTTCTTCCCAGTTTTCCCTATAGACACCCTGTCCTCAAGTCTTTTTTGGTTTTTCGAAACAGGGTTTCTCTGTGTAGCCCTGGCTGTCCTGGAACTCATTCTGTAGACCAGGCTGGCCTTGAACTCAGAGATCCCCTGCCTCTGCCTCCCAAGTGCTGGGATTAAAGGCGTTCGCCACCACTGCCCGGCCCTCAAGTCTTATTAACGTTAGGTACTTGCAGTCCTGAAACGTCAGGCCTCCTTTCCTCTTTCTGTTCTTTGTTCTCTTTCTGTGAATATCCTCCCTGGTCCCTTTATACTCCAAATGTGCCACACCAGTACAAAAAGCTTCTCCAGTCAACTAGGTACTTCCTTTTCTCTTCTGTGATATTGTCTCCACATCTGGATGCTGCACTTATCGGATAAGTAAAACCATTTGTGATAAAATACAGCAAAAATAAATATTGTATGTATGCAATGTCTCTTCTACTAAACAAATTTTGTTGATTTTTCGCATGCACTAACAGAAGAGGTAGTGCATATTATGTCTAAGCAAATAACTGCTGAAGTGTATGTGCTTGTGTGTGTTACTATGGGTCAAACTTACCTGTGACACGTTAGAGAAGCAAGGAGTCTGCCACTCATCTACTTCCCCAGTCCTTGAGTATATTTTTGAAGTAAATGCCTTTTCAGTTCTAGCTTTCTGACTGCTTAAAGAAGTTAGTGTTTAATACTACACTTAGGATATCATCTTCTTTGAAACCCTTTGTGGGAGTGGGTGCTGGGGTATCAAACCTAGTGCCTTGCATATGCTAAATATATGTTTTCTATTTATATACTTTTGTTTATTGAGACAGGATCTTCCTTTGTAGTCTTGGATGGCCTGAACTCGCTAAGTAGACCAGGCTCTCTTGAGGTCACAGAGCTCTGCCTACCTTTGCCTCTTCAAGGGCTGTAATTAAAGGCATGTACCACCATGACAGATCTAAACCTTGATTACATTGTGAATTTTGTCAACCTAAAAAGACAACTGTCATCTCAAAGGGGATAAGAGATGGCTTTATTCTTTTTTTGTTTGTTTGTTTTGTTTTGTTTTTGTTTTTGTTTTTTGAGACAGGGTTTCTCTGTGTAGTCCTGGGTGTCCTGGAACTCACTCTGTAGACCAGGCTGTCCTCGAACTCAGAAATCCGCCTGCCTCTGCCTCCCAAGTGATGGGATTAAAGGCATGCGCCACCACTGCCTGGCCTGAATGGCATTCTTAGCCTTTTGGCTGTTGTTTGCCAGGAATGTGTCTGTACATTCGAGAGGACTTAATGGTCACATCAAGATTAGGTCATAGAAGGAGGTACTAAGGAGGCTGACAGTGACTCGAGGTGATTGGCTCTGGACTTGCACCATCCCTCCCTCTCCACACCACGGGAGTCAACGGGGCTTGCAGTTGGTTCCTGTAAACTGAGGTTCTCTTCAGGAACTTCTGTTCTCACTATGCCTATTTTTGGGTGGGATACTCAGGGTCTTGTTTATGCTTCAACAGTACTCATTTTCAGAGCATCCTTCCCAATGTGTGACAATGAACAGTCACAAACACATAGGATAGACAAATCAGTACAGGCAGTTGCCTCTCTTCACTCTGGAGGCTGCTGATACAATGGTTTCTTTATGACATGGTAACATTTTAATATATGTACATGACGTATTCCATCACATCCTCCCAAGCACACTTCCTCTGTTTTCTCTCCCCTCCTAATAATTAATCCTTCTCCTGCCAAGTTTGTGTCCCTTTGTGGGGTCCATTGAGCCTCACTGGGGTTGTTTACAGTAGCAACAGTTGGCTTGTTGCTGGAGCACAGGTGGGTGCCTTGCCAGGATCCTCCTCTGAGGAAAATGTCACTCCCTCCCCCATCAACAACTAATTGCCTATCAGTCCTGAAGGAGGACTGGGACCCCCAAAGCCCCTGCTCCTTCCATGAGAGTGTGAGAGTGTTGACTGGCCCTACCTTCTGCAAATAATCTGTGAGTAATGCAGTGGAACAACTATGTCATTCAGGGAGAGTTCCGAATGTCCTCTTCCCCCACCCCACCCCCCTTTTTTGAGACAAGGTTTCTCTGTGTAGTCCTGGCTGTCCTGGAGGTCTGTAAGCCAGGCAGCCTCAAATTCACAGATCTGTCTGCCTCTGCCTCCAAAGTGCTAGGATCAAAGGTGTGTGCCACCATGCCTGGCTACTCTTTGCTCTCTTTCCATCTGCTTATGTCCCCTGGATGTTGGAGGGCATGCAACAGCTGTCCTGTTTATGACTGGGCTCTCTATGGTCACTTACCCTCTGTACTTTGATTAGTTATGAGTCTCTGAAGTCACTGCTGACTACTGCAAAAAGAACCTTCTCTCAGCAAAGCTGATGGCAGCAGTAACAGGCAGGAACGTTGTTATTTAGAAGGGAATTTGAAAGGCACATCATGTCGGGCAGTGGTGGCACATGCCTTTAATCCCATCACTTGGGAGGCAGAGGCAGGCGGATTTCTGACTTCGAGGACAGCCTGGTCTACAGAATGAGTTCCAGGACAGCCAGGGCTACACAGAGAAACCATGTCAAGAAAAAAAGAAAGAAAGAAAGAAAGAAAGAAAGAAAGAAAGAAAGAAAGAAAGAAAGAAAGAAGAAAAGAAAAAGAAAAGAAAGGCACATCATGCCCACTTATCAAAACAACGGAAGTAGCTTTCCTTCTGGAGTCTACCTCGGGCTTTGGAACAGGTTCACAATAGCAGAAATACATTCCTTCCTATAGGATGGGCCTCACTGCCAATCAGAAGGTGGTTGGTTACCCCTGTAACAGTCCTGACACATTCTACCAAGAGGCTGTTGTCTGGTCAGTTGGTATTGTCACACACAGGGTCCACAGCAAAGGCTGTTGATGACAAACACCCCACTTGCCCCTGCTCCAGCAGCCTGTATAATACCGTGTGTGGACTAACTGGGAGGAACCTTCTAGTCCAGTTCCAGCTGGATTTCTCCATGTTCTGTGACTAATACATATGTTGTCTTCAGGGTCTTATCATTTATTTCTGGTAGGCAGCCAATAGCAGTGGCAATTGCCTGAGGTGGTGTAATGGTTTCAGGAGCTTTCCGGAAGCTCTGTATGTACAGTAGCCCATAGCTGGCACGGGGAGTCCTAATAAGCTATGGCTTGGGGGGGGGCAGCTTTATCTACCCACACAGGAAACTTCCACTAAAACTACTTTTAAATTTTTACTAATTAGCTCGTTGGAGTATCTAATTTTCTTACGGCTATCTCATTCATTACAAGTTTAGGTTGACCCTCTCTGATCCCTTCACTGTGCTTTTGCTTTCTTGGCTACTAACAAGCTTTGCTTGTAGGAGTAAGAAAGGAAGGGGAGAGAGAATGTGGTGGTGGTGGTGTGAAGAAATATATATATATATATATATATATATAAAAATTATATATATATATATAATACATATATATATATATAATACATATATGTATATATCCATTACCTAAACTGTAAACCAGCTGTAACATTTTGTTATATCTGCACTTGCTACCTTTTTATGACCCTTTGCCTTGCCTAATGACTCATGTGTGATTGCTGTATAGATAAGAGAACTGAGCCTCAGACTCTAATGACCAGCTAAGGAGTTCCTGTCCCAGGTGCTGTCATCAGCTTGTCAGCTGACTCATCCATATCCTGTGGGTGTTAGATTTTTAAGCCAGGTCTGGAAAACATTTTGAATCCTTGGTGATGATACCCTTTCAAAGTTTCTCTTCCATTCCTGGTTAGTCATTCCTTACACAATCTACCTGAGGTATTTCTTCGACTCATTCTTTCAAAGTGAACACTCCCTGCTGTTCTCTCTCTGCTTCCTTCCCTCTCCAGACCCCCTCAGGTGTGAGTGTGAGTCCTGGGCCTCTCACGTGCTGTGTAGGTGCTCCACTACTCAACGACACCCCCAGCCGGGTCCTGCCTTTTCCTGGAACATATGACATCCAACTAAAACAGCTCTGACATCCTAGCATCCCTGCAACAGACCTGACAAAAATAAAGGTTTTCTCAGGAGACTGAGATAGTCTGACTTTCAGACTATTGAAACAATGAATCCCCAAGAAATGGGAATTTCCCTCAGGAAATTCCTGTTGGGAAAAGGAACTGACCTCAGCTTGAAGGGGAATTTGTCTTTCAGGAAGAGAGTTCACAAAGTTCTATCTAGTCAGATCGCCTTACAGGATGAGATGGCATCCAATGGTGGGTGAATGGTGGAGGGACCACACTTTGACTGCTTAGATGTGCATAACCCTGGCCTTCTATTTAAACTTTAATCTCATTTAGGGATCTCAGAGAGAGGCTAACTCTTTGTCCCTCTTCCCAATGTGGGTATATTAAGTATATCTCCTTTTCCATTTCTGTTCGTTTGTATTCTTGTTATTTTGGGTTTTTGTTTGTTTGGTTAGTTGGCTGTTTTGGTTTTTTTTTTGTTTGTTTGTTTGTTTTTCGAGACAGGGTTTCTCTGTGTAGCCCTGGCTGTCCTGGAACTCACTCTGTAGACCAGGCTGTCCTTGAAGTCAGAAATTCGCCTGCCTCTGCCTCCCAAGTGCTGGGATTAAAGGCGTGCGCCACCACAGCCCGGCCTTGTTTGGTGTTTTTTTTTGGCTTTTGTTTTTGTTTTGATTCACTGTGTAGGTCTAGCCGGCCGGAACTCTCCATACCATGCTGAAGATCCACCAGCACCTACCACCCCAGTGCTGGGATTAAAGGCTGTCGCCGCCGCCGCTTTCCACTTTTAATTTGGGCTTTTCAGTGGTCAATTGGATGGATGATCCTCTAAATTCCGTAACAGTCCAAATTACGTCTGGACCATCCCAAGCAGTCTCCCCCAACCCCCTAATTCCTTTAGCCTTCATTTTCCATAACTAAAGAGCTGTTTCCCAGGTGTGACTTCCAGCCCTCCAAACGTGGTCCATCTCCAAGGCCAAGTCTAAGAGACCTTCTGGCGGTACAGACGCTCTACGCCCTGCACTCCGTTTCCGCATCTCGTGCCGGAGGAGGGGATGCTTGTCGCAGCCGCCACAGAAGTAGCCAGCGCTTCCCGGTGGCTAATCTCCATTAACGCCGTGGAGCGTGGAGCAGACGGTCCAGGGAGGACGTTCTCACAGACACGCTCTCGCACACACTCAGCGCTGGAACCAACCCGGGATTCCCAGCCTGTGGGCGCTTCCATTGCAGCCGGCGGGAGGGAGCACCGGATCACGGAACGCCTCTCTAACGAATTCCTGCGGCGTCAGCCATTCCCCAGCCTCCACCCAGTGAACGATAAACTGTCGCTCTCTCTAGTGCAGAGGGTTCATTCCCGGCCGGAGCTGTCCCTGTCTGACTGCTCCTGGGTCGTGCGCGCGGATCCCCCCACCACAGCCTCCGCGTGGTAGCGCCCGCCCCGCCGCCGCTTGCCGGTTGCTCCCCGGCGTTAGCCTGCTCGCCTCAGTGAGCCGCCGCCGTCGTCGCGTCTGCCTCACAGCACAGCTCGCCCGGTCGGCGCCGAGGGACGAGGAGGAAAGAGCACCCCGCAGCGCAGCGGTCCCGCATCCCCACCGCCGCCCGCCCAGCTCGGCCCGGCTCGTCAGCGCGGCGGCGCCCGGCATGTATCAGAGCCCGCGGCGGCTCTGCTCGGCCCTGCTGCTCAGGGACGCCCCCGGCCTGCGCCGCACACTCGTGCCCGGCCCGCGCCGAACGCTCGCCCCGCCGGTGCTCGGATCCCGGCCCACGTCCCCGCAACTGCAGGCGGCGGCGGCCTCGGGCGCCGCGAGGTCGCGTCCCCGAACAGGTGAGCGGGAGCGCGGAATGAATGGGCGCCGCGGGCTGGTCCCCGGCGCTCGCCGCGGCGGCGCGTCGGGAGGGAGAGCGGACGCCGCTCAGGGGGCCTTGCTTTCCGCGTTCGTGTCTGATCTACCCGAAGCTCCGGTGGCCACAGTGACCCCAGTAGCTAACGTTGTTTCGTTTTACACCCCCGGGTGCAGGGCGGTTACGCTTTGATTGCAGACTGTGGACATCATTATGGGGGGGGGGGGAATACCCAAAAATGACATGGTCGTAGGTTTGCAGGGCCTACGAGCGCTGAACCTTCTCGAAGCCCTATTAGTAATAGCACGTTAATTCTTTACGTTTGTTTGTTTGTTTGCTTATTTATTTATTTATGTCTGGGAGGGGTCTTCCACTTCGTCTTAAATCCATGCGTGAATCTGGTAAATCAGGCTTTCATCAAGAGTCAGTTCTGTACATCATCTTGTGTTTTTTAAGTGTTCCCTTTCTGCCTAAAAGCAGATTGTGACGGTCACAAACTACATACAAATCAAGTATGGCTTTTAAATGAGTACTTTCTCCCTCAAATCTAGCAATTACTTCATGTAGGCTCTCCTTCAAAACCAGCAATTATTCCATAATACTTTTCTAGAAAGTTTAATTTGGCTGTTACCTCAAATTAGGTTATTGCCATCTAACATACGGATGCTGTAACTATCCTTATTTTACTAGAGTACATTTTGATAGAGTGTTGGATTAATTTAAGGACAGAGTGCACGTTAGGAAGTATAGGTTTCCTGCGGCTGTCTTTTGTTGCTGTTTTCAAGACATGGCTGTGGCAGTCCTAGACCTTAACTATGTAGACCAGGCTGCGTTTGTATTTGTAGAGATCCACCCACCTCAGCCTAGTGAATGCTGGGATTAAAGGCTTGAGAGTGGAGCCAAGCTGTGTGAGGCTTTCTTCTAACAAGTTATCATCTGAGTCTGGTTGAAGCCAAAACCTTAAACCATACACAAGCACATTATTGGCAGATATTTAGACTGGGGTTTTTTGGTTGGTTGGTTGGTTGATTGGTTTTAGTTAACCAGTTAAAATGTGTGTGGTGCCATGCACTTGTAATCCCAGCTCTCAGGATAAGGCTGGAAGATCAACATTTGGAGTGCTCCCAACCCTAGAGTCTGTTTTGGACATACTTTTTTGCTGGATGGTGGTGGCACTTTATCCCAGCACTCTGAAGGCAGAGACAAGCAGATCTCTTGAGTTTGAGGCCAACCTGGTTTACAGAGTGAGTTCCAAGACAGCCAGGGCTCTTCAGAGACACCCTGTCTCAAAAAGGTAGGTAGGAAGGAAGGACTTTTGAAAATCCAGGGTCATGCCCCCACCTCTGGGTCTATAGAACTTTGGTTAGAAATAACTGTTGGGACAGATAGCATCCCACTAACACCAGCAATAGCTGCTAGTGGTGTTTTCCTATTGCTTGTTTTTAGAAGGAACATTGTTAGGTTTGAAGGTGGAAAGATTGGCAACGGAGTCAGAGTTTGCAGTATGAGGCTTCTGACTGATGTCTAATGCATTCCTTTAAAGGTTATTTGAAAACTCTTGGATTTATGGGTAAAAACCCATAAATGGAAGGACGTAGGGTAGGAGAGGGAAGTGGTAGACTGTGGGTTTAACATGCAACAGGCCCTAGCAACAAAGAAAGATTGCAGGATTTTAATGGTACTTAAACTGTCTTAGTACAGGATGTAGGCAACTTTCGTGTTTCCTGTAGCTTGGGGGAAGATACAGTCATTGATCATTCCTCCACCATGTCACTCACCATAGGTGCTTTCATCTAGAAGAATCTGTGGTGTATCGTATTGACGATTCTAAGCTTTAGGTTATTCAAAAGAGCTTGCTTTCCATTACGAGATGAGATTGGGGCTGGAGAGGTGGCTCAGGGGTTAAGAGCACTGTATGTTCTTCCAGAGGTCCTGAGTTCAATTCCCAGCAACCACATGGTGGCTCACAACCATCTGTAATGGGATCCGATGTCCTGTTCTGGTGTGTCTGAAGACAGCTACAGTGTATTCATATAAATAAAATAGATAAATCTGTTTAAAAAAAAAGAGAGAGATGAGATTGGGGCTAAGGAGATGATGCAGATGGTAAGGATGCTACCAACCTGAAGACCTAAGTTCACTCCACGTGATGGAAGGAGGGGACCGAGTCCTTCAAGGTGTTCCCAGCACCCACATGAGCCTATACACAAACAAATGGGCGGAGTTTGTAGATTTTTTTTTTTTTAAGAGGTGAAATTTAAGCAGATGTGGTGATTCAGGCTGGAACATTGCTGTTTTGTTTTGTTTTGTTTTGTTTTGTTTTGTTTTGTTTTGTTTTGTTTTGTTTTTGAGAGCTTCTCAGTGTAGCCCTTGCTGTCCTGGAACCCTGCACCCAAGTGCTGGGATTAAAAGTGTTGGCCTGTCCAGGAACAGATCTTGAATTCAAGGCCAGCTTGGGTTGCAGGTTCCAGTACTGTATTCTTTAGGGGGAGAGGAAGGTCTGTTTAATTAAATGAAACACCTTTTAGTCTCAGGGATGTTTTTGCTTTGACAAGGTGGAGGCAACCTATAAGGATAACTCTTAGCGTGGTGGCACACGCCTTTAATCCCAGCACTTGGGAGGCAGAGGCAGGCGGATTTCTGAGTTCGAGGCCAGCAGAGTGAGTTCCAGGACAGCCAGGGCTATACAGAGAAACCCTGTCTCGAAAAACCAAAAAAAAAAAAAGGGTAACTCTTGATACTTTCAGGGGTGAGAAGGTGGCAGCATTCAAAGCTAGACTTGAAAAGAGAAAATACAGCTTGCAGTGCTGGCACACACCATTATCCCAGCACTGGGGAGGCAGAGGCAGGCAGGTCTCTGGCCAGCCTAGTCTACGGAGTTCCAGAAACCAGAACTTAAAAAACCAAAAAGAGAGAGAGAGAGAAAGAGAGAGAGAGAGAGAGAGAGAGAGGGGGAGGGAGGAGAGGGAGAGAGAGAGAGAGAG